ATAAAAGAATTTCCAAAGGTATCAGCATTCCTGGGTTCAAGCTGTACTGCAGAGCTATAGTAATAAAAATGGAAAGGTAGTGGCATAAAAACACACAGGTTGATGAATGGAATTGAATCAAAGACCCAGGCATAAATCCATACTCATGGATACCTGATATTTTTTATAAAGATGCCAGACATTTACAATAGAAAAAGAAATCATCTTTAACAGATGGTCCTGGTCTAACTGGACATCAGCATGAAGAAGAGTACAAATAGAGCCATAGCTATCACCCTGCACAAAACTCAAGTCCAAGTGGATCAAAGACACACTAGATTCCCTGAACCTGCTAGGAGAGAAAGTGCCAATAGCTATAGTGAAAATTTTGTAACTTTGGTTTCTCTTAAAAACACAGAAATGTTATGGGTATTTGCTTTTGTTTTCACCCCAGGTATGGAGATATGAGTTTGAGTCACAGCAGCTAACTATTATTTGCTTTGCTCTGGGAGGGGCATGGTTTTGCAAGCTGCAGATAGTTTCTGCAAGTCTGTGACATTTGGAATTCTGGAAACTTTTCAGAGGACATATAATGCGAGGTCCCCAAGAGGCAGGGTTGCTGTTGCTGGGTGGTTGGCTGTGGTTTGTCAAGCAGTCATACGCAAAGGAATAATAAGAAAGTATTATTGTTGGTGAAGGCCAAACTTGCCCCAATGAACTTGATGCCCCTAATCATCAGGAAGTAGTCTAACAATAACTTTATCCCCTTTCTCCTCTTTCCTTTCTTCTCTCTTATCTAGTGTTAGAGGGTCAACAAAGATGAAGAAGGGTGAAAGAGAGAAAAAGGAACCCACAAAGTAGCAAATGCCATTTACAGACAGCACAGGAGACTTCTTGAACAGGACACCAATAGCACAGACACTACGATCAACAATCAAAAAATAGAACTTCATGAAACTAAAAATCTTCTGTAAGGCATCAATAGGACAAAATAATAGCCTACAGAATGGGAAAAGATTTTTCACCAACTCCACATCTGACAGAGGGCTAATATCCAAAATATGTAAAACTCAAGAACTCAAGAAACCAGGTATCACAAACGAAATAATCTAATTAAAAATGCTCAATTCCTATCCAGAAAGGCAAAGAGGTTGGACATCAGAAGAAGGAGAAAAGAGGGAACAAGTCAGGAGCCTGACACAGAGGACCTCTGAAAAGCTCTGCTCTGCAGACTATCAATGTAGATACTGAGACTTATGGGCAACCTTTGGGCAGAGTGCAGGGAATCTTAGGAAAGAAGTGGGAAACAGTAAGATCTGGAGAGGACAGGAACTCCACAAGGAGAGCAACAGAACCAAAAAAATCTGAGCACAGGGGTCTTTCCTGAGACTGCTATTCCAACCAAGGACTATGCATGGAGATAACCTAAGACCCCTGCACAGATGTAGCCCATGGCAGTTCAGTATCCAAGTGGGTTCCATTGTGATAGGAACAGGGACTGTCTCTGACATTAACTGATTGGCCTGCTCTTTAATTTCCTCCCCTGAGGGGGAAGCAGCATTACCAGGCCACAGAAGAGGACAAGGCAGCCACTCCTGATGAGACCTAATTGACTAGGATCAGAAGGAAGGAAAAGAAGTCCTCCCCTATCAGTGGACTTGGGGAGGGGCATGCATGCAGAGGGTGGAGGAAGGGAGGGATTGGGATGGGAGGAGGGAGGGAACCACGGGGGGGAATACAAAGTGAGTAAAATGTAATTAATAAAGAAAAATAAAATAAAAAAAATAAATGGAGCACAGTGAGACTCACAGCCAAACTTTGGGCAGAGTACAGGGAGTCATATGGAAGAGAGGGGTGGAGATAGAGGGACATGGAGGGGACATGAACCCCACAAAGAGACCAACAAAGCTAAAGGATCTGAACTCGGGGGTCCTGCAGAGACTGATGCACCAATGGAGGACCATGTATGGAGAGAACCTAGACCCCCTGCTCAGATGTGGATGATTGGCAGCTCAGTCTTCATGTGGATCTCTGAGTGAGGGGAGCAGGAGCTGCCTCTATCAGGAACTCGGATGGTTGACTGCTCTTTGATCACCTGACACTGGTGATGCGGTCTTACCAGGCCACAGAGGAAGAAGATCCAGGCAGTCCTGATGAGACTTGATGGGCAGATGGCAATGGTGGAGAACTCCCTCTTTCAGTGGACTAGGGGAAGGGGAGAGGGGAAGAGGGAGGGACGGTGGAACTGGAAGGAGTTGAGGGAGGGGGCTTCAATAAGGATACATAATGAATGAATTGCAAAGAAAAAAATTAAAATTAAAAAATGGAGCACAGATCTAAACAGAGGATTCTCAACAGAAGAATCTCATATGGCTGAGAAACACCCAAAGCAATGTTCAACATCCTTAGCCATCAAAGAAATGCAAAGCAAAACGACTTCCAGATTCCATTTTAGACCTGTTACATTGCCTAAGAACAAAAACTCACGTGACAGCTCATGCTGATGAAGATGTGGAGCAAAAGGAACACTCCTTCATTGCTGGTGGGAGTACAAATTTATGTATCTACTTTGGAAATCAATATAGCAGTTTCTCAAAAAAATTAAGAGCAAACTTTGGGTAGAGTGTAGGGAATCTTATGAAAGAAGGGGGAGATAGAAAGACCTGGAGGGGACAGGAACTCCACATGGAGAGCAACAGAACCAAAAAATCTGGCCACAGGGGTGTTTTCAGAGACTGATACTCCAATCATGGACCATTCATGGAGATAACCTAGAGCCCCTGCATAGATGTAGCCCATGGCAGCTCAGTGTCCAAGTGGGTTCCCTAATAATGTGAACAGGGACTGTCTCTGACATGAACTGATTGGCCTGCTCTTTAATCACCTCCCCCTGAGAGGGGAGCAGCCTTACCAGGCCACAGAAGATGACAATACAACCACTCCTGATGAGATCTGATAGACTAAGACCAGAAGGAAGAAGAGGAAGACCTCCCCTATCAGTGGACTTGGGGAGGGGCCTGCTCTTTGATCACCTCCCCCTCAGGGGGGTGCAGCCTTACCAGGCCACAGAGGAAGACAGTGCAGCCACTCCTGATAGGTTAGGATCAAATGGAAGGGGAGGAGGACCTCCCCTATCAGTGGACTTGGGGAAGGGGCATGGGTGGCGAAGAGGGTGGGAGGGTGGGATTAGGAGGGGAAGAGGAAGGGAGATATAGGTGGGATACAAAGGGAATAAACTGTAACTAATAAAAATAAAATATTATAAAAAATGAAGCCTTAATAAAAAGGAAAGAAAGAAAAATAAAAAGAGTCTACCTCAAGACGCAGCCATACCACTCCTGGGTACATATCCAAAGCATGTTCTATCCTACCACAAAGATACTTGCTCAACTATGTTTAAAGCAGCTTTATTCTTAATAGTCAGGAGAGAGAGCTCAAGGGTTAAGGTTAAAGTACCTCTTGGTTTTCCAGAGGACCCAAGTTCAGTTCTCGGCAACTCCATCAGGTGGCTCACCAACATTGTAATTCCAGTTCCAGCCCCTCGAGGGCTACTGTATGCACGCAGGTGGGGCACACAAGCTCACACACGAAATACACACCCACATAAATAAGATAAACAATAAGTATTCTGAAACTAATGTCCGGTGTTAGCAAACAGGCCAGGAATTTTTCCTGGGTACATAACATGCCCTTTGGGCCAGCCAAGCACCCAAGAGTCCTCACGAAAGTGTGTTTTATTTTGTGGTGAGGCTGCTATGGTGAGTGGTGGACACCAGGAGGGGAGGGGAGGAAAGGGGAGGGGAGTGCACAATGTGAAACTCACGAAGAATCAATAAAAAGTTTTAAATATATATATACAGCCACACGGAACGACGATGTGGGCAGGGTACCGGCAATCTGGTTGGTTTGTTTTAAATCTGGGTACCAGTTATATGATTACACGGGGGAGTCGTTTATGAAGATTCTTTTGGCTTCCTGCTTGTGTTTAATTTCCTGCACGCGCATACTTTAGTAGGGTCTTATTTGTTTTTATTGATACACTGTTGTTTTTGTGTATAGGTGGGGGTTTGTTTTTGTTTTTGTGCGTGGGAATCCTCCTCTGTGCACATGGCGTCAGAGGTCGATATCATTGGCCAGGGTCTCCGAGCGTCCACACCCTGCTGGCCCAACCCGGGTCTCCTACTGCACTAGGAGCTCAGAGATGAGGTAGGCTAAGAGGCTGGTGTCTATTCACCCCTCAGCCCAGCCTTTTACCTGGGTGCCGGATAACTGAACCGGGGTCCTCAGGCTTGCCCTGCGGACATTTTGTCAACTGAGCCATTCCCCCAGACCCTACGTTTAGATTGTCCTTTTTTTTTTTTTTAAATATTTATTATTGTATGTGTGTGGTGCGTAAGTCAGCATACATACTAGTGCCACCGTAGGTATGTGGGCGTTGATTCTCTCCTTCCACTTTTATACGGGGTTCCAGGGACCAAACCAGGGTGCTTCTCTAAGCCACCTGGGCAGTTTTAGGTTTGGAGGATAAGGTCTCACTCTCTAGTCCAGGCTGTGTTAAACTTGTGATCCTTTCGCCTCACGGCTTCTCAGGTGTCGGGATTTCGGGCGCGTGCCCTCATGCTCTGGGCATTCAGTCAGATATTAAAGAAAAAAAATCGCCATAGTTTATGGCTGTTTATAATGGTATTGCTTAAGGGAGAAAGCGTAGAACCCACCTCAATACACTTGGCTCATGAGATCCTGCCTCCATGTTAAATCAATGAAATGACTTCCACTCCTTTTCTCCTGCCTTAATAACCCTGGTGAGACGCACAGACGCTGGTTGTGCCTGGAAGGGGATCTGGAGGTTCAGGGGTGCGCACTCTGGATTGGCTTTCTCCATAACGGTCCGCCCCCGCGAACGCCGGTGGGTGTCATGTGATCGCGCAGTCAGCTGACCTAGGTCGAGCCGGAATAAGCCCTGGATTCGTTCTCTTGACATCATGGTGAGGAATTAGGGGAGATTCGAAGCTGGGTGTTGAGCGAGAAAGGGGTTCGGTGGGTCTAGGAGCATAAGGAGAGAATATTCACCGGCGCCTGCGTGCTGCGGCGGACGGCCGAGTCTGCAGGCGCAGCCGCGCTGCCCCGAGTTCATACCTCTGGGCCACGAGGCCCCACCTCCCGGAACCCGAATTCTCGGATTCCCCCACTGCCCCCAGAGGACCTCCCGCGGGAGCCCACTTCCCCAGCTGTCGGGTGACCAAGAAGAGAGCATGCTTAGGAGCGGTTAGGAAGCCTCTCCGCGCTTTCCAGAGCCAGGGAGTGGTTTTTGGATTGGATTGAGCTTTCTGACTCATGCACCCGTTCATTCAGCAGATACGTGTTGAGTCTCCAGCCCCTGTAGGCTTTGGAATTTCGACTGCAAGGGGCAGGAGGGGAGGAGGAGGGCAAATCAAAACAAGAAGATGAGACTCCGTGAAGGGTAGTTTGTGTTACCCGGTTGGGAAGCAGGGACAGCGGAAGGGTGTCCTCAGGAGACAGTTGCGCAGCCTCTGAAAGGAGCCAGGCCCCCTGAGAGCGCACATCTTGTCTCACTAGAGCTTGATGAAGATCAGGTCAGACAGGCAAAGACCAAATCTTGCTGGGACTTGGAGCCCCATTACCTAAATAATGAGCATTCCCTCTGGCTGCCCAAAGTGCTTTGTCAACAAGGAGATTATGGGAAGTAGGAGCTGGTGCCGTAGCTCAATGGTAGACATGCCCAAGGCTCTGAGTTTGGGCCCCAGCACTGCCAGCAACAAGGCCCCCGAAACCTAAGACCAGAGGACCCAGCAAGGATGAAGGTAGGGGTGAGGCTGGGGTGGCTGCAGCCTGGTGGACACTTGGGAAGAACTGCCACCAGTTGATGTCTGTGGAGGAGATTCGGTAAAAACCAGAAAGGGGGCAGGGGCTAGTGTGGGCAGGGAGAGAGTGCTCCAGACAGATCGGTGGTAGGGGAGAACAGGTGACCGGAGACTTGCTCATTCCTGCCCACCCCGCAGCTCTCCCTGCAGCCTGACTTCCTACCTTACTCTTCTCTTGCAGAGGTTCCGGTTCTGTGGCGATCTGGACTGTCCTGACTGGGTCCTAGCAGAGATCAGCACACTGGCCAAGATTGTTGAGTGCACTGGCTTAGGGTTGGGAGGAGACAGAGGGTTGGGGTTCGGTGTGGAGGGAGGAGGTTGAGATTGGGAGCTTGGGGCAAGGTGGTGAAGGAGTCCTCCCAAAGATGGTGGGGCCTCCCTGCCATGTGGCCTTGTGTCACGTGGCTGGCCCTCCTTCAGCCAACCCCACCACCACCCCCAGCAATGTGGGGAAGGTGGGAGAGTCTGGCTGAAACGGGGACATCCTTTTCAGTCCTCTGTGAAGCTGCGGCTGCTGTGTAGCCAGGTGCTAAAGGAGCTTCTGGGGCAGGGGATTGATGTGAGTACCGGAGCCAACACTCCACTAATACCCTTGTGAGCCTCTGAGAAGTCTGTCCTCCCAACCTCTTGGATATCCCCTGTCTTCTCTCCAGCACCAGCCCATTCCTTACCACAGGATCAGGGGCACAGGGCTGGTGACGAGGCTCTGGCACCCCCTTAGGACCTCCTTTCCCCACAGTATGAGAAGATCCTGAAGCTCACTGCTGATGCAAAGTTTGGTGAGTGTCCTGGACTGGGAACCCCAGTCGTCCTTGTTCCTCCTGCCTCGGTGGAGAACACATGCTGACAACCCTGTCCCTGCCCTCTGCCACCACCTGCTGGTCCCACAGCAGTGCCCAGGATTCAAGAAACCGGGGGCCCAAAGCTGGAAGAGAACAGGGTAGGGAGGTGGTTGGGGCCACAGGGCCAGCCCCTGCCTCACCTGTGGCTCTCTAGAGTCTGGAGATGTGAAGGCCACGGTTGCAGTGCTGAGCTTCATCCTCTCCAGCGCAGCCAAGCACAGCGTGGACAGCGATTCCTTGTCCAGCGAACTACAGCAGCTGGGGCTGCCCAGAGGTACACAGTGGGCACAGGCAGGTGGGAACCTGTGGGTAGGGGCTTCTGGATCTGGAGTGGGGGGAAGGGCAGGCTTTGTTGACCCTGAGATGTACCCAGTCCTCTGCGGGTCCGGGATCCTGAGACCCACCCCTTAGGACCAGTGCCAGTCTCCACTTGCCAGCTCAGCTCCCCTCAGAGCTCAATCTGCCTGCAGAGCACGCCACCAGCCTGTGCCGCTGTTATGAGGAGAAACAGAGCCCCCTACAGGAGCATCTTCGGGCCTGCAGCCTTCGTGGTGAGTAGGCTGGCCAGCCTGGGCTGTTCTCTAGAAGGTACATGCACAAGCGGAATGCCGTTGCTCCAGGGGCAGCCTTAACTACAGTTACACACAGAGAGCAGTTGAGTTTAGACCTGGCCAAGGATCTCGTGACTATGGCCTGAGTTTCTCCGAGGCTCATGGTAGATATTCTCGTACCTGCCCTACAATAGACCTGGGTTAGAGGGCAAGAGATTGTAGGCCACACAGCCCTGAAGGGTTACAGGCCGAGCCCCATTGTGGACTGAGGTGGAGGACTTCCTGGCTTGCCTGGTTGATAGCTGCCTAACTCTTGCCTGCAGTGAACAGGCTGGCCAGCGTGGGCTGGCGGGTGGACTACACTCTGAGCTCCAGCCTGCTACGTTCTGTGGAAGAGCCCATGGTACACCTGCAGCTACAGGTGGTGCCTGCTCCGGGTGCCCTGGCCCAGCCTGTGTCAATGTCCCTCTCAGCAGACAAGTTCCAGGTTCTGCTGGCAGGTGAGGTTGGACCTGCAGAGGTTGGGGCCTCTCCTGGGTCAGGCCAGACTGGCCTCAGACTTGCTTGTCCTCCTAACCACTCCCCATGCACCCGCTTGTCCCCTGCAGAACTGAAGCAGGCTCAGACCCTGATGACTGCTTTGGCCTGAGGGAGGCGTGCCTAGCCTCTGTGGAGCTGCCCTGCTTGCACTGAGTTGCTCCCCTCCACACTCCTCTTCCAAGGGTGGCCCTGGCCTCTCGGGTCTCTGGCTGCCTGGCTTCCTGCCTAGGGCTCCTGGGGATCTTCCCCTGAATTGCCTTCTTTTGAAAGAAAACACTTGTTAACCATTTTTACAGACAAAAAGAATAAACGAATGTACAGCAGTGTGTATGAGCCTTGTTTTCTGTTGTTGCTGCTTGCTTGCTTTTGTTGTTGTTGTTTGAGACAGGAGTCCTGAGGCCAAGCTGGACTCCAAATTGGTATCTGCCTGAGGTTGATCTTAAACCCTTAATCCTCCTGCCTCTACTTCTTGAGTTCTGAGATTACAGTCATGCACCATTGCCATAGCTAGGGTTTCATTGCTGTGAGGAGACACTGTGACCATGACAACTCTTCTAAAGGAAAACTTTTCATTGAGGCTGGCTTATAGTTCCCAAGGGTTAGTCCATTATCATAGCAGAGAGCATGGCACTGTGCAGGCAGGCGTCGTGCTAAAGGAGCTGAGACTTCTACATCTTGATGCAGAGGCAGCAGCAGGAGACTGTCACACTAGGCAGTCTAGTATGCATATGAGACCTCAAAGCCTGCCCCATAATGACACACTTCCTCCAGCAAGGCCACACCTACTCAACAGTGCCATGCCTTATGAGCCAAGCATTCAAACACATGAGTCTGTGGGGGCCAAACCTATTCCAAACACCACAACCACCTTGCCTGACTTATATGGTGCTGGCAACAAACCCAGGACTTGATGCATGTCAGGCAAGCTCTTTACCAACTGAGCTACATCTCCAGAGAGGCCAGGTGACATTCTGACCTCCCTGTCCAGCACTTCTCAGTAAGGGGACTGAGGACCAGAATGAACAGTGTGTCTATAGATAAGCAAGTTGGGGTGCTACCTCTGTCTTGTGATCCTCCTTGTCCTCCCCTTTCTGTGCAGTCCTTGTCTTCAGGCTTGCAGCAAGCACGTGACACTGATGCCAGAGCCTAGAGTAAAGAAAGCTTTTCCTTCCTGTCATTGCTAGGAAGAGGAGTCCAGGCCTGAATGCCTCATTAGCAAGAGGTTGGGTACTGCAAACTAAATATTTGCATTTCCACACACATTCTGAAGCTGCATCTAGAAGGGCCACATGAAGGTGCAGAGAGTTGGTGGATGCTTACAAGCCAGGAAACCTCCTCACAGAAACTTGGACCTGCCTGCACCTGGATGTTTGGCCTCTTGAACTACAGAATTGAAGAATGTGTCTATTCAGTCAGGTGTTTTATTGTAGCACCTAAACTAAGACCCATAGTCTCCCAAAATGGTAATAGGCTAGCCAGTGCTCCTTGAAAAAAAAAAAAAAAAGTGAGGAAGCTGTGAGAAGCCAACCAATCTCACTACTCAGAGGGAGATAATTTGAGTATCAGAATAAGCTAACACTGAGGCAGGAGGTTCTGCCTCAACCTGTAACCCTAATGAGCCTGACTCAGCCTGGCTATAGAGCGAGACATTGTCTTTCAAAAGGGGGAAAGGGGAGCTGGAGAAATGACTCAGTGGTTAAGGCTAACTAACTGCTCTTCCAGAGGTCCTAACTTCAATTCCCAGCGCTTCCACAGGTCCTAAGTTCAATTCCCAGCACCCACATGGTGGCTCACAGCCATCCATATGGGATTCGATGTTCTCTTCTGGCATGCAGGCTCTATATGCAGACAGAGCACTCATATACATAAATATACAGAAGTAGATCTTTTTTTAAAAGCGGGGGGGGGGGGAGAGAAATCCCATGAAAAGTTCTCAGATGTGTCTACAGCTTGTCCCCCGACAGCACCCCTCCTGTGTCACACGGGGTCCTGGGTGCCTCTGCTTTTGCTCTTGGGACAGTGCATTGGAATTTTGTTATTTGTTTGTCCCTTTGACCAGCCTAAGATGTTTGGGGAGTACTTAGGGAACGCACTAAGCATTTGCCCAGAATGGCTTCAGCCTCCAGCACTAAGAAGAAAAAGCGAGGGGGTGGTGATTTCCAATTCAATATCTCTGTGGCCTTTTAGCCAAGCAAGTAGCTCACATTCCTAATCTCAGTACTTGAGAGAATGATAAGAGGATAGCCATGAGTTTGAGGTTAGCCTGAGCTACATGGTGAGTTCAAGGCTAGCCTGCACAACTTAAAACAAACAAACAAACTGTTCTCTCAATTTTTTTTAAAGGCTGGTGATAATAGCTCAGGGATAGAGAGTTTGCCCAGCATTTCATGAGGCCCTGGGTTCAATCTTCACTACAAATAAGCAAAAATCATTGAGTATAGTGGATGTTTTTATGTCTTTAAAAACTCAGGTATGTTATATAAACATGCTTTTGTTTTAATCCCAGACGTAGGATATGGGGCTGCTTTTTAGTTTGTCCATAGCTGTTAACTATGGTCATGCCAGCTGCAAATAGCTTAATTCTGGGGACTCTGAGAGGGGTAAGGACAGCTGCTGCTCTTCCCGCTGCTGTGTTTGCTATTGCTGGTTTGCTGGTCTCCAGGATGGCTGGACTTTCCCCAAGTAACTACGTCTCTTAACAGCAGGAAGTAGTTAAAGAAAACTAACTATGCTTTCTCTCCTCCCACTGACCTTCTTTCTCTCCTACCTAGTATTGGGGGTTTGGAAGGTATTAGGATAGATAAGGGTTAGAAGGGAGATAGTGGTATAAGGACCCCATTAAAATAGCTAAAATAAAGATGCCTGGGCTGGAGAGATGGCGCGGTGGTTAAGAGCACTTTCTGCTCTTCCTAGAGGTCCTGAGTTCAATTCCCAGCAACGACATGGTGGCTCACAACCATGTATACTGGGATCTGATGCCCTCTTCTGGCAGGCAGGTGTACATGCAGATAAGGCCCTCACACATAAAAAATAAGTAAATCTTTTCTAAAACGACCCCTACAGTTGATTGTGGCAAATTATCAAGAGTTTGAAACCTTTGGATGAAATGTTGATTAGGGGTCCTGTGAGACAGTTCAGTGAGTTACCTGCCTCCAAGCTTGGCAACCTGAGTTTAATCCCTAAGGAAGAATGGACTCCAGAAAACTGTCCGCTGACCTTCACAGATGTACGCACTCCAGGGCACATAAACCCCCACCCCTGTAGTAGAAGTTATGGTGTCTTAAAAACTCAGTTATGTTATATAAACATGTTTGTCTTAATTCCAGGTGTAGACTATGGGGCTGCTTTAGATTGTCCACAGCAGCAGACTGTTTACCTGTGTGGGGTCGGAGGATGGTGTGATCTTTGCCAGCTGCTGATAGTTTAATTCTGAAGACTCTGGAGAGGGAAAAAAATGCCAGAGCCCGGAGAGAGACAGGGGTCCTCCAAGAAAGAGAAAGAAGGCTGATGCAGACCCCTGCTGCTCCTGGTTGCTGTTGATGCAGTTTGATGGGAAGTCAGAGATATCCTGAAACGAAGATTGCACTTGCCCCAAGGATCCTAACCAACAGGAAGTGGCTAAAGAAAACTGCTCCTCCCTCCCCCCCCACTAACCTTTTTCTCCCACCTGGTATTGGGGTGATGGAAGGGATTGGGGTGTAGAAAGATACAAAATACCACAATAAAATAAAATAGTTAAACACACTCCCACGTGGTAAAAAGCAATTTCAAAAAGTTATACTGGGAAGCCAGGTATTGGTGGCGCCCACCTTCAGTCTCAGGACTCAGAAGAAAGAGACAAGTGGATCCCTGAGTTCAAAGCCAGCCTTGTCTACATACTGAGGAGAGCCAGGGCTAACACAGAGAAACCTTGTCTTGAAAAACCAAAAACTGAAAGAAAAAAAAAGTTAGGTCCATACCATCAAGCTCAGCACTCCTGAAAGAGGCAGGTGAATCTCTTGTGAGTTCAAAGAGAGTCTGGTCTACAGAGCCAGTTCCAGGAAAGCCAGGGCTACATAATGAAACCCTCTCTTAAAAAAAAAAAAATTTAAATGTTGATGTGAACATGGATATTTGCATGGTGCTGAAAAACAATCACTCATATATCCAGATGTCCTGCAGGTGCTAACTGCGTAAACAAAGAGAGTATTTGGCTTTCAAGAGGAACGAGCTACTGAGTATAACAGCACAAGCAAATCTGCTGATAAAATATACTCCCTAAATTGTGATAAGAACAGTTAACATGGGACAAGATGGCTCGGGGATAAAGGCATTTGCTTTTTGGTCCTGGAAACCCATGTTTAAATAGACAGACAGACAGACAGACAGGGTGAGCAGGATGTATTAGCCCCTTATGTGGGTGCTGTAAACCAAACTTGGTCATGATCTTTTGTCATGGCAAGAGAAAGATAACTAAAACCACTGTGCTTGGCTTGGGTGTGAGAAGAGCCGTGAGTGCTTTTAACCACTGAGCTATCTCTCTAGCCCTGACATACATGCCACATGTTTTAAAAATCTAGGTATCCACAGATGGACATTGAGATGGTTTCCTCTTTGTGGCTGGGAGAATGCTTTCATGAATATTATCACCTGAGTGTGGAGAGCAGTTGTATAAAGATGCAGCACACACCTTTAATCCCAGCAGAGGCAGGTGGAGCTCTGTGAGTTTGAGGCCAGCCTGGTCTACACAGCAAGTTTCAGGTTGGCCAGGGCTATATAGTGAGACCTTGCCTTGGGGGGGGTGGGGAGAGGAAGAAGAAGAAAGAAAGCAAAGAAAAAGAAATTAAACAAAATGCAAAAACCCCTCAAACTTAAGGGCTTGGAAAGATGGGGAGCTGGCTCAGGAGATAAGAGCATTTTCTGCTCTTTCAGAGGACTGGACTGGTTCTGTTTCCTACCACCCACAGTGAACCACAATCATCTATAGTTCCAGGGATCTGGTGCCTTCTTCTGGCCTCAGAGTGCACCAGACAGGCACAAGGAGTACATACACACATGCAGGCAAACATATAAGATAAAATATAAATCTTTTAAAAAACACACTCAAGCCAGGTGTAAGTGATCGTCTAGGTTACTTTCCTATTTCTTCGACAAAACACTATGACCAAGGCACCTTAATAGAAGAGTTTGTTGGGGCTTACAGTTTCAGCGAGTGAGTTCACGACCGTTATGTCCAGGTGCATGCCATCTGGAAGGTAGGCATGGCACTGGTCAGCAGCTGAGAGCTTACATGTTGAGACACAAGAAGGAGGCAGAGAGAGAGTGTTCACTGGGGATGGTTTGGGCTTTTGAAACCTCAAAATCCACCCCCAATGACACAACTTCTATAACAAGGCCACACCTCCCAATTTTTCCAGAACAGTTCCTCCAAGTGGGGACCAAATATTCAAAAACATAAAGTTATGGAGGTCGTTCTCATTCAAAGCACCACAGTGGCCTACACCCATTATAACCCCAATTCTTACTGGGGAGGCAGTGGAAAGAAGATTAGAAGAAGCTGGGGGCCGGTTTGAGGTCCAGGCCAATCAGGAATACGAAGCAAGACCCTCTCTTTAACCTTCCTCACCCAAAAATAAAACTGATAAGTAAATAAATGGATAATTGGAGATCGAGAAAAAGATATAGTATGGAGAAGGGTAAATCAGGCCTGTGGGTCATGCCAGGTAAATACAAAGCGCCGGGCGGGAGCTTTCCTTCTCCTCTATACTTCTTAATCCTTCTACTTCCACCCCCAGCTCAGGCCTAACAACAATTCTCTCTCCTCCTGTCCTCACCTACCCCACCCCCAAGCGCCCACCCCTGGCCACAGCCACACAGGACAACTTCCTCAAGTTCTGTTCCTGCACTTTGAATTGGTCCGTTGTGCCTGGCAAGAAGGTCTACACTTCTTGTGACTGAGGCTGTGGCAGTCAGACCAAGCTTTTGCGCCTACCTAACTCCTGACTCGACCTATGGCTGCCACAGACAGAAGCCCGTGTCCTTGCCGGATGCGCTTGCCACTCGGCAGGCGGTGCTGATGTTGTTTATATGCTATGGCTGACTGCACTGACGGCCATTTGGGGTCCCCAGGGACTGTTTGTCGTGCACCTGTGTCTTGCACAGAGCTGCAGGTGGCTCTACACAGTGCTGTTTCCGGCCTGCGGTGTCAACCCTGGCCAGGCTAACTGGTGGCTTCAACTGCAGACACAGCTGCGATTCCCGGCACCGTTCTGACCGCGGCTCCGCTCTCCGTAAGACGGGTTCTCTCGCCACCTCCCGGCGACGCGACTCCCGGAGCTTGCTGCACAGCCGGGGTTTCCGTAATTAAGGAACTCCAGTCCAGACTGCGCCGCCTTCCTGAGGAACTACACTTCCCAGCGGGTGCCAGAGCGACTGTGTCATCTCTCTGCGTTCCCTGAGGTTCTGCACGCGCTAGGATTAACCCCTTAGTGGCTGCAGCCTGAAGTTGAGCAGCCGGCTCAGGTATCCAGCTTGGATGGGGGCCATACAGATCTTCAATGGAGCTGAGGAGCTAAAGGATCTGGGAGCCTAGGGGAGGAGGCAGGAAACCCAAGATTTTAGTGGGGGGAGGGAGGGTTTGTGCCATAGAAAGCTCCGCCTCCTCACAAAACTAGGGCTCTAAAGGTTTGAACCGAACCCAGTTTGGTGCCAAGCCTGAAAAGGGTCTGTCTGTTTTACGTAAACCGTGTCTTCCCGACACGTACCTTCTCCTCAGACCCGGCAAGTAGAAAAGCCGGGGTGCGGGCAAAGAACTAGAGCCCGGTCCTTCCTGGCACCCCCACTATATCCGCCCCTCCCCAACCCTGGGGTCTGTGAGAACCGGGCTGTGCACAGACCAGCATTCCCTCCTAGTTTCCTGTCCTGGCTGGGAGGGAACGGCTCCCTTCTGGCTGGGCGGTGGTGGCAGGCTAGATCAATCGCTGCTGGCCCAAAACGCATCTGAGTTTCTAGCTTCATTGATGTTAGACAGTTTCAGAGCCGGTCTAAGATGTGGTTGATGGGGGCTGGAGAGATGGCTCAATGGTTAAGAGCACTGTCTGCTCTTCCAGAGGTCCTGAGTTCAATTCCCAGCAACCACATGGTGGCTTACAACCATCTATACCCTTAACTGCTCTCTTCTAGCATGCAGGTGCACATGCAGATAAAGCACTAATATAAATACATAAAATAAATAAATAAATGAAATCTTAAGATGTGGTTGATGAATGATCAGAGCTTTTTGCCCCTGAGGTGCCAGCAGGTAGAGGCCAGAACAGATGGTGAGAACCTTTGAACTTTGGGAGCTCCTAAGTCAAGATATGGATAGGGGAGAAAGAAAGGCTCCTTCAAACTTCCCACTGTGTGTCGGGTGGGGGATAGTAAGGGCAGAGTCCTGGAGATGGGGAGGTACTGGTTTGTAGGTGGATGGGAGAAGCCCGTGGAAAGAAAGCATTAGTGAGCCACTTCGGCTCCCGTACCCAGTACTTGGGATGGCTGAAGGGGCTGTGAGGAGGTCCGCATTTTCTTGCTCCTCCTAGACTTTTCCTCTGTAAAACCTTGATGATAATTCCTACCTAACAAGACATTTTGTGGCACACCCGTTCTCTTCCTACTCCAGGGCCCAGCCTGCTCCTTCAGAATGCCAGAGGGCCCGGAGCTGCACCTGGCCAGCCTCTTTGTGAATGAGTCGTGTAAGGGGCTGGTGTTTGGCGGCTGTGTGGAGAAGTCCTCTGTCAGCCGAAACCCCGAGGTGCCTTTTGAGAGCACGGCCTACCACATCTCAGCTTTAGCCAGGGGCAAGGAGCTGCGCCTGACACTGAGCCCCCTGCCTGGGGCCCAGCCCCCTCAGAAGCCACTGTCCCTTGTCTTCCGCTTTGGTATGTCTGGATCCTTCCAGCTGGTGCCTGCAGATGCGCTGCCACCCCACGCCCATCTACGTTTTTACACGGCCCCCCCCTGGCCCCCGGCTGGCCCTTTGCTTCGTAGACATCCGCCGCTTTGGCCGCTGGGACTCTGGCGGTGAATGGCAGCCAGGCCGGGGGCCCTGTGTCTTGCTGGAGTATGAACGGTTCAGGTAGGACTGATATGTGGGGTACCAGGCCAACAAAAAACAAATGCTAGCTCCTACCAACCCTCCGTCCCTCATCTATTGAGATGGCATCTTGGCAGGCAAACCCAAGGAAGGCAGCCCAAAGGAAGAACAGCCCAAGGTCTGAGGACACAGAAACAGCATTAGAGCTGTGCTACAGCCCAGCACCCCACTTTCCTTCCTGGTGGCCCCAGGCCATCAAGGAAGGTAGCAGGCTTTCACAGTAATTAAGAAACAGGCCTGCACAGTGGGGAAAGGACAGCCTCTTGGCTGACTCGGGTTTTGGTAGTCACTCACATTCTCCCTGCTCCTGTCTATGTCCTGGGGTTTCCTCTGTGACTGTCCCTGTTATCAGTACTCAACTCTAAAGAGACAGTAAGATTCTCTGCTCTGAGACAGGCCTTATAGGGTCCAGCAGTGGGCAAGGTGAGTGTGGTCCCTCCACCCTCCAGGGGGGACCAGGAGACCTTTGGCCAAGGATGGGGAGCACATGAGGCTGGTCGTCTAGGGAAGTGTTCTTCGAGCTGAGATCTGGATGATGGAGACTGAGGCAGCTTTGTAAGCCATGTTGACAAGCACCGAAGGGTACAAGCTGGGGTGGACCCGGCATGTTTTCATTTTCCTTCCTGGAAAATGAGCCCTAGTCTTTGGTATCACAGAAACAGTTGGCTCCTGGCTTGCCTGTAGCCCTGGGTTATTTTTGCCTCATCGTTCCTGAAGCGTTGGAGGCCATAGGCTGCTTGCCTGCTGTTCTGTTGCATCTCTTGATAGACCTCAAAGGGGTTTTCACAGTCCTCCAGCTGGGTACCTTCCGGGGGAGGGGTCAGCACCACACAGAAGCGTCTACTCTTTTTCAGTCTTAGAACTCCTCCTTACACTCACTCATGCCTACCACCCAGTAAGTCCTTCATACTTTGAGGGAGTGAGGACAAGTTGAGAGACTATTTCATTCTATTCCAGGATGACCTGGTATTTGCTACATACTCATGGTGGTAGGGTTACTGTCTCAGCCTTCCCAGTGTTGGGTCACACACACACACACACACATCAGCTAGCTGTCATGCTAGCCTAGGTGACAAGGGTATGGGTAGACTCTGGTGTCTTTGCCTTAGCTCATCATGTGTGTGGAGGGGCTGTGAACCACATTGAAGGTCTTGCCAAGCCTAGAGGGGAAGTCCATTGCCTTCGGTGTGTGAGGCAGGATGAGTACCCTGAGCTGACACCTGAGCATGTGTGTGTGTGTGCAGGGTCTTATTGTGTAGCCCTGCCTGGCCTGGGATTAGCTATGTCAGTAAGGCTGGCTCCAAACTTGCCTCTCTTCTTCTGTCTCAGCCTCCCAAGTGTTGGGATTACAGGTGTGAATCACCATGCCTGGCTGAACATGTTTTTGATTCTTTAACAATAAACTTAAGTTTTTTGTTTTTCCCACTTAAGAAAGGAAAACAGAGGCACCTGAGACCAGAGGGAGCTAGGATGGTTTCTCCTTGCACTCAGGAAGAGACTTCCCAGTCCTTCTTCCCTATCCTAGGATGTGGGATGGGTCTCATGCATCTAGCCTGTGTCCCTCCAGGGAGAACGTACTTCGGAACCTATCAGACAACGCCTTTGACCGGCCCATCTGTGAGGCCTTGTTGGACCAGAGGTTCTTCAATGGCATTGGCAACTATCTTCGGGCAGAGATCTTGTACCGGTCAGCAGGCAGGCTGTGGGTACCAGGGCTGCGGTGGGGCGAGGCTGACCACATCCATTGCCTAACCTGGGTCCTTCCCAATTCCAGGCTCAAGATCCCCCCTTTTGAGAAGGCCCGCACAGTTCTGGAGGCCCTGCAGCAGTGCCGGCTGGTGAGGACAGAATGCAAGCCCGCGTGTGCTAGCTGTCACGCTAGCCTGGGTGACAAGGGCACGGGGAGACACCATGTGTGTGGAGGGGCTTGGAGGGGAAGTCCATCGCCTTGGGTGTGTGAGGCAGGGTGACTACTCAGGGTTCACACTTTGTTGACGCCCACACCCCCTTCAGAGCCCAGAGCTGACCCTGAGCCAGAAGATTAAGGCCAAACTGCAGAACCCAGACCTGCTAGAACTGTGTCACTTGGTGCCCAAGGAAGTGGTTCAGCTGGGTGAGGCCTGGAGTGGGGAGGTGTGTATGGGTGGGGGAGGCGCAAGATGGCCCATGGTCTCTGCTTCAGCCTCTGTGAGATTCTGGGCAGCTGTCCTCTTGGCTTGAGGGATGGGAGTTTCCTAAACAGACCAGGTCTCTTGGCAAGTTTCCATTTCCCACAGCCTCCTCTGCAGCAGGTGGGGCAAGGATTCACCACTTGCTGACGGAGAGGCTAGGACCCAGAGTGGAGAGATACCAGCCTAGTCACAGCGGGAGGAGGTGGTGTGGCCCAGCTCAGTCCATCAGTGTCTTTAGCTGAGGTCTGAGCCAGTTTGATCCAGGCTCCCTGTTCTGCCCATCCCATCTCTCCTCACCTCTGACTGGTCCCTCTGTCCCTCAGGGGGCAAAGGCTACGGGCCAGAGCGTGGAGAGGAGGCTTTCGCTGCCTTTAGAGCCTGGCTGCGGTGCTATGGCATGCCAGGCATGAGTTCTCTTCGAGACCGGCACGGCCGTACCATCTGGTTCCAGGTTTGAGCCCTACTCATATAAACAAATGGAGACCCCAGAGAAGCTGCTGGGGTAGAGATGACCTGAGCCTATGGAGGCCCCCCCAAGGGTCACATTGTTCCCAAGTGTCTAGTTCTCCAATGTGACGTCCTTCTCCTTTAAGCCCCAGGGTCCAAGCCAATAGAACAGCTCAAGACAGCTGGTGTGTGTATGTGAGTGTGTATGTGTGTGTGTGAGAGAGAGGCAGACAGAGTCAGAGAGGGAGACAGAGACAGCGAGAGAGGGAGACAGAGAGGGGGAGAGAGAGAGAGAGGATATGGCCTTGCCACTCCAAGGAAAACTGTCCTTTCACCAGACCAGGTTGATTCCAGAATTGTCATCATTCCATTTTAGGGTGATCCCGGACCCTTGGCACCCAAAGGTAAGAAGCTCTTAATGTAAGAGACAAAGAGCTGGAAGGACCCCACAGGCCTTGCACAGCCATCCTCCCATCCCTCTTCAACCTTGGAGTCACCCAGAATTAAGTCTAGAGAGGGGCTGAAGCCCGAGGGCTCTTTAACTCCAGTACAACATCCTACAGGGGACAGATCCCGAACAAAGAAGTCACAGAAAACACAGCTGGGAGCTGAGGACAGAAAAGAGGTAGGACTGCCAGTCCCTGCCTCCTCTGCCCAGCTCCCCTCCTCAGGCCAGGCTCCTGGCAAGCTGTCTTCCTCTACCAGGGGAGTGCTGGAGCATGTAGAGAATGCCAGTAGTGGATCCTAATGAACTCGTGAACTGCTAGAAACCTAGTAAGGACCATGTTCTCTATCCAGGACCTTCCACTTTCAAGCAAGTCCATTTCCAGGACTCAGAGGGCCAGGAAACACCCTCCTAAGAGTATAGCTCAACAGCCTAACGGGATCAGCCTCCAACAAAACTCGGGAACCCCTACAGCCCTTGAGAAAGGAAAGAGAAGGGGGCGACAGGCAACCACAGGTAAACAAACACTTTTCAACGTCCTCATTGAGCTGGAAAGAGGGAGCCCACAGTGGTTCTTTGGGGAGGATGGGAGGTGACAGAGGGTGACCAGAGAGGACACACAATCCCTACCTCACCTGCTCTTCCCACAGGTCGCCGCAGACCCCGAAAGAGTAAGGCTGATACCTAATCCAGAGAGGCTGGGATCTTCAGCCTCATAGATGGAGGTCTCCTTGCTTGGTACTCGCTCCCCTGTTGCCTTGCTATGAATCTAGGGGCATGTCTGAATCCCTACACACAGTATTTGTAGGGCTGTATGCCCTAGGCCCTGTGATTTTTCCTGCACAACTGTTTCTTGAGATAGGGTCTCATACATCCTAGGCTGGCCTTGAGCTCATATGTACCTGAATATGACATTAAACTCCTGATTGATCTTCCTGCCTTTATTCCCATAGTTGCTGAGTCTACAGGTGTGAGCCCCCACACCCCGATAAATGATTTGTTACTGTTTGTTTTTTCTAGACAGGATCTCTGTGTCCAGGATCTGGCTGTCCTGGAACTCGCTCTGTAGTCCAGGCTAATGTAGAACTCACAGAGATCCACTTGCCTCTGCCTCCCAAGGACTGGGATTAAATGTGTGCACCACCACTGCCCAGTTTATGATACTTGTAAATGTACGTCACCTTTGACATTTTTTCTAAAGCACAAGTGAAACCATTAACAAACTAGTAAATGTGACTTTCTTGGCACTTCTTGGCCTGGCTACATAAGGTACAAAGGCAGACTGGAAAGGCATGTTACATGGCTCCAACTATTTGTAAATGTAATTCCCTGCCCTCCACCCCCATATACTCAAGGCTCTGACTATTACAGGACAGTCTGCCTGTGCAGGGCCAGCTCCTCTGCAGCCCTGGACTCAGGTGGTCCAGACACCATCGCTCTTTCCGTCCGGGTTTCTTGAGGGCCTGCGGCTGGCTGTACTCCCAGCTCAGCACTTGCCCCACAGCTTTCCTCCCAGCTGAGGGTGGAGGGATGAGAAGATATGTGGGGGGTGGCTAGGGTTAGGGGATTGGCAGCGTCCAGGCTTCCTGTTCAGCCCTGGCCTTAGCTGCTGACACAGGAGTACCTCTTTATCTCAAAGTCCCTTGGCTTATAGTCACCTGAGGTCTCCAGTATCTCAGAGAAGGCCAACCCAGACCCTGCACACACAGGTAACCTTAGGTCTTGCCCCTGGAAAGTAGCTCTCTCCTTCCTCCTTACAACCCAGAGAGTGGCCCTGAGGGGAGCAGCAAGGCCTGACCACAGGACTGCTAATCTAAGCATTTATTGTACAAAATGCTTCTGGCTGGGGAGATGGAAATGAGGAGTTCCCTAAGCTCTCCACAAACAAGACTCAGTTTGTTGGAGGCTGAAGCACAAGCAATAGGGACCTCACTTGGAAGGGAGAAAAGGTGAGCTTCAGGCGGTTGTCCTGAAGGGACAGGTGACCAGTAGGGTCTCGCTGCTCCAGGAGGTTACAACTAGACAGAGAGAATAGGAGAGGGCTTTAAGGACTGACAAAGGCAGGATCCCACCTCTACATCCGTCCCATCTCCACTCACAGAATGGCCTCCTGAACAGGCAATGATGTGTGTAACCAGCAGTCCACATGGCTGCCATGAGCCTCATACAGCCTCAGAACCAGTGTGCGGTGCTGGTGGCTCTTCTCGGCCTGTGAAAGGAAGGCAGGGCAGTAGGCAGGGCCAAGAACCTGTGCATCCCAGGAACCTCCCCAGACCATCCTGTCCCTTGCCTGTTTGATGGTCTCCAACACAACAGCCGGGGAAGATACGGAAAAGGCGCTCCAGGTGGTGGCAGGTGCTGGGCCTGGAGCTGGCAATGCCAGCAGGGGAAAGTTGAGGTTGTAGGCAGCATGGATAACACCAGCTTCTTGGAAGGAACCTGGGACATGACCAGAAAGAAACACATGTGGACAATGAGAGCTCCCCCACAGTGCCTCTGGAGGAGATACGGGGCTGGGCTGCCTCAATTTACCCCCAGTGCCTTGGTTTAACCCTTACCTCAAAAAAGGGCCCCATCCCCCTGGTACTTACCCTTGTGTGGCATCAAGGCATATGTGAATTCATGGCGCCCCATGTCAGCAGTAACATCTGGGGCCTTAGATGCACGCAGCCTGGAGTGGGAGGGAGAGATGGGAAGGCTGGAGTTGAGGCGCAGGATGCCCCGCATGCCCATGCCAGCCCTGGGCCTCGGAGGCGCTGCACTCACAGGGAGAGGCTGAGGACGTTGCCTCGCACTGATGCTCCATACTTGCAGTTGTTGAGCAGGGCCAGCCCAAAGTCACACTCAGACAGATCTATCCAGCGGTGCGCCCACACCTGGGGGGCAGATCCAAGGCCTGTGGCTGGCTCCACCCCAAAGCCCTTCTCAGTAGGGGACAGTGAGTAGTTCTGGAGCCTGTGGCTGAATCCTAGCTGCCACTCTAGGAAGCCCTGGGCATGCCATCCCACCTGTCTTCCTGCTTCCTCATCTGTGGAACGGTACCAGTGGCTATAGTATCAAACCAAAGTAAAGCATTTAGCAAATGCCTGACGCCTGCCTGTATTTAAAACCTCAGGGGCCAGTCATTTTCCTCCTTTTGTCATCAAGCCACAAAACTAGTCTCTCCTCAGTCAGGGATGAGTCCAAGCCCCACCCTTTCCCCCATGTCAGACCTCATATCGAGCCCAGTCCCAAGAGGTGTTGTAGTGGGTAGGCCTCTGAAGGTGCCCAAACTGGATCTCATAGGTAGCCTGCGGGCTCCGGATTCGAGCAGGGAACTCCACCTTCAGGAACTTGTGGGCCTCATGCCAGTGTACCTGGGAGTGAAATGGAGGGAGGGTGGGGCCAAAAGAAGGGCATTAAGCCTCCATAGCAACCCCACCGGGGAAAGATAGCCACTACCCTGGCCCTTCTACCTCGGTGTTGAATCGGACATAGGGGCAGCCAACATCCAGCACAACCTCCTGGCTGAGCCGGCTGTTGGGGCTGATCTGTAAGAGGAACCAGGCACTGCCCCGAAGGCCACCTTCAGCGCCTATTGCCAGGGTCCCTGCCTGGCCCAGCACAGGCTTCCTGTGGGATAAAGTGGCAGGCACTAAGCCAGAGCAGCATGCATTCAGAGGCACAGGCGCCCCCAGGACCTGCCCAGCACAGACCGTGTCTCTAGATGGTAGTCCATGACATCCCAAGCATCCCAGTATAACGGCACATCATCAAACAGCACGAACTGGTTCCCCAGGGCTCCCTCAGCAATGGCTTCTCTGGAAGGACACAGGGACCGGCACTCTTTCCAGCTCTACTTGGTGGTTACAGGTTAAATAGAGCCAGGAGATGCTAACCCAGCCTGCCCTGCGCCATGTGTGGGTTCCAGCCTAGAGGAGCTTATAGACTACTTGGACAGTGTGGTGGCTAGGGAACAAAGGGAAGAGAGCACAGTTTGGGATCTACTTGCCAGGCATGGGATTTAGAACAATGAAGGGTTGGCACCTGCCAGAAGCCACCAGGACCAGGGAAGTAAGGCAGCCAGTTGGATCCAATCTTATCCGGATGATGCCATTGTCCAGAATCACAGAACCATCAGTCTTGCGGGGAAGGATCGTTGAGCTGAGGTAGTAGTAGTCCTCACCTCCAACCCAACCCTTCTAAAGCTGTGCATTGCCCCAGCCCCTTCCTCCAGACCAAGGAGCATCCCAGACTAGCCCCTCCCCCCGGGAGCTGCTAAGACCTACCTCCTGCATCACGAACACGGGCTGCTGTGGTAGCAGGGGCTGTAGTGAGGTAGGGGTGGGCGCAGGCGCATAGCCAACACTGGGCACTGTCACCAGGGCTGGGGACAAGGCCGGAGCATGAGTGCAGCTCTCTGACCTTAAACCCTTGCTCGGGTTAGAGATAAACTGAGTGGGATAGTACATAGCTACTTCTCTCCAGATTGGGCACCCCAATATAGAGATCCCGGGGGAGTATTCCTGCCATGCTGTCTGGCCTTGGCTTCTCCTGCTGCAGGACTAGCCCTCCCCTTCAGCTCATACCTAGACTGTGAGCCCCACCAGGCTTGGGCAGCGCCAACACTTCAGTGCGCTTCCAGGGCAGCGTGTTGATAATGAGGAGGCCCTCGGGACCTGGCTCTCCAGCACACAAGGCCGCAGCTGCGGCACCGAGCAGTGTACTGCCGTGAGAACGGATGTCTGCAGAGAGATGGGTTTGGTCACGGGTGGGTAATGGGGCGCACTTGGCCCTGGGTGGAGAGCAGTGCAACTGCTTTGAGGGTCAGCCTCACCTTCATAATAGCTCATGGCATCTTCTGCCACCAGCTGAATGCAGCTTCCGGTCACCACATCATGGAACTGGTTGAGGAGCAGGAGCCTACAGGGACCAAGGGCAGAGACATGGAAGGGGCAGGCAGTGGCAGGGTGTGAAGTCAGGTGAGCAGCAAGAAGAGGCACCGACTGACCTCCAGAGGTGCTGCAGCTGGGCTGCTGGGTACAGGAACTGGGCACTGCGGGCTAGGGCCAGGCTGCTGAGCAACTCCACATCATGAAGAATCTGCTCACACTCCCGGTTCCCCTTCTTGAGCTGTGCCCAGGGAGGGGGGATCGGCTTAGATTTGACTGCTGTGACCCAGGACACCTTCCAAAGCTCTCTCTTGCTCAGAACCCTTGACAGCTTCCCAAGGCCTCTTGGACATGGCCTCTCCTAGGACACTTAGTTCAAGCGGCCTCCCACTCAACCCCTCCTCCCTCAGAGAGGCTCTGTCCCACCCCCTGCCTGTGTTTGGGATTGACCCAGCTATTGTGATTCTTGTCTAACCTTCTACTCAGAGAAAAAGCCCACTGGGTTCCACCCCTGCCCCTCACTACCCTTTCCCCACAGCCCTCTGCAGACCAAGACCCTCTATTTTCTAGGCTGGTAGCCTTGCCCTGACCTGGGCATGGGTAGTGTAGGTGCCATTATGCAGTTCCAGGAAGAGTTCCCCAACCCACGTGCACAGCTGCCGGGAGTCTGTCTCCAGTGCTGTGAAGAGCTGTTCAGGAGAAGACAGCTGCACCCTGAGGAAGACACAAGCCTGGGTTCCCAGCTGGGAGTCCTGCGGTTTGTCCTCTGTCTATAGTGCAGACCAGAGGGCCCCAACCGAGAAGCTACTGCCTAGATAGTCCCCTATGTACACTGCATTCTGTTGGACTCAGGCCCCTTCCTACCTCAGAATTTCCCTCCACCCTGTCCCTAGTGTGGAAGTCTGGAAGGTTGATGGGCCAGGATTTGAGAGACACAAGCTGCAGTGGAGGGTTTGAGGCCTCATATATAAACAACGGGCAGGCTCAAGGAAGGAGCTTGAGGGTGGGGCTACAGGTAGGTAGCTCGAGAGCCCAGGCTGATGTTGTTGGCTCAGGCCTGACCT